CCCCTCTAGTATATAAGGACCCCCCTAGGCGCTCCCTAGTCCCCATCTCGACCTCTTGGTCATTGGGACTAGGTGAGTGACCATAGTGTTGTATCTCTCTTCGATTGCTAATGTATAACTTGGTCATTGGGACTAGTCTGTCGCTATCTGCGTGAAGACTAGCTTCGTAGGTCTTGTGCCTTCGTGCCGGCCTCCGCTCTGCCCCGTCGAGTTTCTTGTTGCGTTTATCCCTCTTTCCCTCGCTTTTCCCCTTTCGGCTCCTCGCCGCTCGCCTACGGGGTCGTCGCCGAACGTCGACCCGAGTCTACGCGCCTAGTCGCCGCGACAGTTTGTGCGGTTTTCTTGGGAGCCAGTTGACGGTAGCCTGCTTTAAGTCGGTTGACGAAGTCGGTCCATGATCCAAGGGTTCCGCCGTTCGATGCTGTCTCGACGTAGTCGTGCGCGCCACCTTCCAAGTACATGAGGGCCAGGGTAATCTTGTCATCGTCCGTGGTGATGTTCTGGACGCGGAACCAAAGGCCCATCTTCTGTAACCATTGTTCGAGAGTGATGTCCGAGCCTTTGTTGCCCTTGTACTTGGGTGGTTCTGATGCCTTGATACGCGAGGCCTGTGATACGACAGGGGCCGGGGTGGTACTGATACCAAGTGTGGTGCGGGTTGACAGGCCTTGTTCCAACTGTGTAAACTTGGCTGCGAGTTCCTTGTACCTTTTGACGAGCTCCGTGTTGTTCCGGTTGAGAACCTCCAGATCCGCATTGACAGTGACCAGTTCCGCCTTCAGCTGTTTGTTCTCTTCGACAGCTTTGAGGGCGAGGTTCCCAGCAGTGTCAGCCTTGGTGTGAAGGCCTGTCATAGACGTGTCCAACTCCTTGAAAGTGGCGTGGGTAGTGTCGCGCTCGTTGAGGAAGTCGTTCCAATGTTCGTATACCTTGTTGCCGAGGACGTTGTAAACGTTGACTATTTCCCGCCGGGTGATGTCCCTTGTCACGGAAATGGTCCAGTCGACGTAAACTGGGTTGGTAATGCCTAAACTGTTTGCCAAGGCACGGATAGCATTTTCCAACGAGTCATATTCAACACCAGCATAGATCCATTGAATTTCCGGGTACGCTTGAAGCGTAGCAGTGGGTGAAGCCAGGCGGGTGTGTGCCAGTGATGGAGCCGGGTGGGTGTGTGGCCCCAGATCTTCCGACTCAAAGTCATCCTCTGCCAGAGGGGCGTAACGCGAGCCTGAAGCCATTGGTAGAAAACTATGCCTGATACAAAACTAAACGATGATCCAATCTAGGTACCCAAAACGTTCTAACTCGACTAGGGCCTTAACCACACGCTCAAAGTTTTGTCCAAGTCCACTAAATTTGACCTTTCCAAACTCCTTGCAGAACCAATCAATGTTCTGTTGCTGACTGCGAGTCCACGAGGTGCCGTTCTCCGTGATGTTGTCGAGTATCCACTCGAGTCTGTCGCCGATGCGCTGGAGGGCAAGTCGATGGTCGTGGGGGATGTCGAGCAACTGATCCTTGCGATCGAAGATGGCTTGCAGTCTTTTGATGACGGCGTTGACCTTGGAGCTGATGATAGCGAGGAGGTCGACGGGGTCACGTCGTGCGAAGGATGGGAGAGGTGGTGCAGCTATACGGTACTGAAGAGGGACCGTAGGGATTGAGGGGACGAAGACTGGTGGGGGTGTGGTGAGACGTGCTTCGAGCGGTCTGTTGAGGGGTTGGGAGGGAGGTACAGGTGGAAGGAGGGCCTTGCGACGAGGGACGATGGGGGTATGCCTATACTGTCAGTGATGACGAAGGCGGTCTGATGTGTCGTCAGCAAGGGCGTGGTCAATCTGGGACTGGACGTCGAGGTGACCGTGTCTCTTGAAATGACGACGGGTAAACTCCGGTAGGTCCGAGTCGGATGGTAGGATAGTGGGGGGGGATGATAAATGTTTCAAAAAACTCCTAGAGAGAGAGATCCGGTCCGCAAGTGGTTGAGACACTCCACGGAGGGGATGGGTAAGAGACTTGATCTAATGTCACGGCCAACGAGCTGTGCCACCAGACAAACAAGGACAAGCTTACTGGTGATGGGGTTGGTGCTGGGGGGCGAAGCAACTCCAGGTGACACAGCAAGGGATGGTGCAAAGAAGTAGATTCCCTAGACTAGAAGGGGCAGTGAGAGGTAGGGCTGCTAGCTACCTACAGAAGAGATGGGTGATCGACGAGAAGATCAAGTCTGAGGTTCCCTGCCTCAGACCCCCTACTATTTATACAAATACAACGGTGCACAGACCAGGTACCTATTTGTCCCTGCTTGGTCAGAGTCTGCTGACTCATGTCCTGCCT